GAACCGGATTGTTATCATTACGTACGGCATTAAGCACAGTTACAATCACATTGGTTCAATTAGAAAACCGGATAAATTTTTCCTTTTTAAACAAGCCGGATTTAAAATAACCAAGTGTGTGATCATAACCGTATATGCTTCGCGGAATAGTGGGTCTAAACTTAATATTATATTCCCATTTTATTTGACAATACGTCGTTAAATGTCTTCATCTCTTTAATTATAAAATTAATTCTACACTCCTTTTATGATTCCCATCTTCTAATATGTTATAGGATTTTTCATTAGCTACACGTGGGTTCAAACCGCGCTCAAATCGGAGCACCGTAGCCAAAGTTATGCATTTTCTAAGAAAAGGGATGCAAAATCTCCAGGACCCCCACGCCCATAACGTGGGCAACCAGAAAGTTGGCGCCCCCAGCGTGGGAGTGGCGCCCTCAGGGTGGATGCTGCTGCCTCGTTTGGCCAGTTGGCGCCCCTGGCGCCACCCAACAGGGCTGGATGCCCAAAATAAGGTGATTTGACCTATCTATGATGTTTACCCCATGACTTGAGCTATACTCACTCAAATTACACCATTTTGGTCTCTATGGAAAGCTAAGAGAAATGTCTACATCTTCCATAAAGACATCAAGGTCAAATTCCATCCCATAGGGTATGAAAATTGGTCAACCGGACAGGATATCTTTGTTTTTACATGGATTATCAACCTAATTGACAACATATAACTTTCCAATAAATAATTCTTAGTTCTTGCAAGATACTTTCATTCCAAAATAACATGCATACATATGTCTCCTTCACTTACAATATTACAACACATCTTAATTACAGAATAATGAGACTTAGCTTCAAAATACTATGATCATCACCTTGGTTCCCAACAACATAAGAGATACCACAAGAAATGAGCATAGGCTAAGTCCATCCAATAAAGCATGATATACATGTGATGATTTGCTTTCAAATATAAATCCTATACATGATATTTCTACATGTCATATGTATAATCCCAAAAGTGCAACATCTTCATGCATCACTAATCCAAATACGGCCACTTGCCACTGGTGGCTCCTGCAGCATCCTTTCCTGAAAGGGGGTCCCCACAACACGGGGTGAGATATACGAATATATCCAGTAAATCAGGGGTCCTTGGAGCATCTCCCCACCCCATAGTTCCAAAAACAATGTAATAGCAATAACAATAATAATGCAGTAAATACATATCTATGCAAAGTGTAAATAACATCTCCAGGAGAAATCCCTCGAGCTCTCAAGCTGTCCTAAGGATACTCAGATGCAAATAGTCCTACTGGCCAGCTAAACTACCATGTATGATTTACGCATCGTCATGCAACATACCAACATAGGGAACCACCATCCTATGCCACACCAAATGCATACACATACGTATAACAAAGCATTAAACTATTTCATTGCATTTATATACACAATCACAACCTCTACCCATTCAGGGCTTGTGGAACAGTCAAGGAAATTACACCCAAGGTCCGAAGGCTTCCTCAAAGCTTCAGTCAACCTTTGTTCTTCACCAACAGGTTCCGCAACCAATCAACTTTGGTTTCAAACTATAGCTTACTAGGTACACACCTATTCCAAAGAGCTAATCAAGCTCCATAGCTTGCTCCAATGGTTGGTCACTCAATGTTGATCCCAATGCCTCAATCCTAACATCATAAAGGCATAATCAACAACCAACCAAACCATGATCATAATTGCAAGAAAACCCACAACCAAGTATCATGTTCTTGCAAATTTTCAAAGCATAATCAAATGGCTAACTAAGTTCATTTCTAGCATTTTTCATAACATGCACTAAGCTTCATTCTTCCAAGAGCATAGCTAATCTGCTCACACTATCAAAAACCCCCAAAACACTATTCATCCATAGCCCTAACCATGAAATTTTCAAGGAAACAAGGTACAAGGGTTAGAATCTTACCACCAATGGTTACACAACCAAGGATTGATGGTTCCTTAAGCTTCCAAGGAGAGAATCACCTCCAATCACCCCAAAACCTTCAAAGGGTCGAAACTTTGGAGAAGAAAATCCCACAACACAACACTCCCCACCAAGAACCAATCTAGGATTAGGAATGAAGGCGAGATTCTAAGTGATTTAGAGTTTCTGTTGTCCCTTTTCTTTTCTCTTCATTTTCTGGATCTTTAATTAGTATACTTATTCAACAAATCTACCACAAATATTTTTTGCTCAGCAAATGGGTGTTTGTATGCTTCAAATAGCACGAAATCCTCATTAAAGTAAAGTGTCACATAATTTTATTTTATTTTTAATGTAAGATCCTATGTTTATTGGATCTTTCATTATACGTTTTCCCCCTGTGCACTAATGTTGTTATTTGTTTGGTTGCTGAGGAACTTAAAGTCTTGAAAGTAAGAAGTGGGAGTTGATTGTATAGTAATATGAAGCTAGTAATTTTATTCTCCCTTTTGTTGTTATGGTTGTGTAATTTGTAATCATTGATACTATGGCTTACTAGGCTTACTTATGGACTGGATTACAAAGGAAATGTGTGTGGGGACAAGCATGCTGGCCTTCGTGAATTGGAGCTCAGATACTGGCTAAATCCTAATCAGGTTTATCAACGTGGATTGAAGGATAGCCAATTTAAACTCGCCAATGCTCGCAGTATATGCTTGTTGGATTGCCCCATTCTAAGTTCCAATTGGCCTTGAAGGCCGTAGCATGTGAGAGGGAAAAACAAAATTTTTTCCGCAAGCGGAATACACATGCATGTCAAGATACATACTTTAAGACGTATGTCATACCTTGTTCGTGAAAACTCAAGATGATCAAGGTAGGTCTGAAGGGTTCAGACCCTCTAACGTTGATCCACACCACCCGCGTCTAGATACAGGAACTCCTTCCAGTAAAGCCGCCGACTGATCACCACAATAAGGCTTGCTATGCGTTCAATGTGTGATGAAAGGAGACTATGTTAAAGATTTTAGAAGAGTGAAGTTTTCAGAGAGAAAACCTCACAAAAGTAGCGCAGGAATAAGGAGAGAATGGCTTAGGCTTTTTACAAAACCCTAGGAGGAACATATATACTATTAGGCGCACAAGAAGTGATCAAGAGAGTCATGATGCAATCAGATTTTTGATCCTCAAAATCCCTTCAAAAGGGCGCACCAACAAGGAGAAATAAGAGGATTTGTTGCAAATCAAATCTTATCAAATCTTGCCAACAACATCCTATCATATCTTTATGATATTAGGTTCGAACCTAATCAAATATCTGATCATATATCATCATATATTCAGCTATATGGTGCGCCCCATATAGCCTAAATAATGACCAGATACATTTTAGTAGTTGCATTCAAACTTGAATCAAATCACTCAAATATTCTCCCAACAGATCGTATCTTCTGGAGCTGATTCTGATGACTAACCAACAGCCAAATCAGCACCCCAAATCTTCTTAGATTATGTCCAAAAGATTTCCTCTTGATATGTTCCAACAAGATCTCATCTTATCCTTTTGTTATGAAACAACTTTTCATAGCCAATTCAAATTCGAATTTCAAACATTTGAATTCAAACTTTCAAACACTTAAATTTTAAATTCAAATTCAAATTCTAAATTCAAATTCAAATTTCAAATTTCAAATTTCAAAATTCAAATTTCAAATTTCAAATTTCAAAATTCAAAATTCAAAATTCAAAATTCGAATTTCAAAATTCAAATTCAAAATTTAAACATTTGATAATTAATTTAACTAATTAAATTAATTAGTAATGTCTTGGACTATCCAAGCCCATTACTTAGATCCATGCGCCCTCCACCTTATCTGTGGAGTTCCAAACTACTTCTTGGGCTAATAACAATTGTTAGGCCCAATATCTTTAATGCTAGAGCATCTAGACAATTAGGTGTTAGTGTGTGACAGCCACTGACATAAATGGGCTTGGGCCCAATAAGCCCACAACCCATCTAATGACAACACAGAGCACTAGCAATGCTTTGTTGCCCCAGAACTAGTTAGATTAATGACTTGATCATCCTATTACACATATTTGGTTGCCGTATATATTTCCTTTCGTCTCGGTTACCTTCCCATAAAACCTAGGGTAAGGAAGCGTATCAACCCCTGCGGTTTAGGGTAAGCTTTATTCGAAATAAGGAATCTTCAATTTACAGACTCTAAAGGCAGATCATCTCATGATCTCTTTTACTATGCATAGATTCCCGAGTCCCCGTAAATGTCATCCCGATTTCTCCGGTTTACAGATAACCTAATCTCTCATAGAGATTTGACGAATTCCTTCAGCTTATCACCCTAGCCCTGTGTTCTTTTAGGACAAGCCCAACAGTATACCTATGAGTCTCCATGTTTCAGGCAGACGAGGTGCACAATCAAAGCATGCCTTCTAGAACACAGTCTAGGTAATAACTTCTGGTCTTAGGAAAGACATACCCAAATATAAAGAGACTACTCTAATGATACTCTCTGTGAGAGTTCCTCATAGAGTCTCTTTGTGGGTCTGTTCAGTGCGAGCTATACCCTTATAGGTCCACCCACGACTTTAGTTAAGACATCTCCATATCTGTAGCACATGAGGTCTATACCTTGTATCCATATACAAGTAAATAAGTCGTGCTAGTCTTACCCGAGATTACTGACCCCATTCTCAGTATCTCTAGACTAGGAACATAAAATTAGGAATAAACATCCGGTATTCTTGAATCCTCATGATTGTGATCTCATCACAGATACTCAAGAGATACCTATTTTATTCCACGGGGTTTATCAAGTTATTCATAATATATTAACATTAATATCGAGACAGAATTATGAAACAAGATAAAGAGTGCTTTTATTTATTTGCGACAATATTAAAAAGGTCTACATTTATGTCCTTATTTAATCATAAGATTGTCTCTAGGACACTCAAATACTAACAAGCTCCCACTTGGCAATGTTTTTATGTTTTCTTTCTTCTTTTTTATGCCATGGGGGAAGGGGGAGATGGTGTTTAGGGAACTGTATATATCCTTATATTTGACAGTTTACAAAATATCTGATTCTTAAAGCATGTTTTTTTTGTCTAGTTTACTGGAGTTGCCAATTCATTGCTCAAGCATCAAATGTGTCTTTAAAGCATTGGCAGCAGATGGGTGGAGTTAACATCAATGAGGACATTGTTATTGATAAGTCCATTCACAATTATATCAATGCTCGGTCAGCTGTATTGAAGGTTAATTTTTTTTCAACATTCTACTTTTTTTTTTTTTTAAATTGTTGTTACGAACTGTGATATTGCTAGGGGAAACAATAAACAATTAACTTCAACATTCTATATTATATGCATGTTGCTTTATCAGCTTGTTAGTTTTAACTTCTAATACAAGAAATAGATAATTAAATGAAGTAAGTTTGTGGGTGATAGGATTGAATACTGTTGAGATATATAAAACCATAAGGTCACGAGTTCGATCCTCACCGTCCCCCACTTGTGGAATTAAATAAAAAGCACAACAAAAAAGGTAAATAAAAAATTGGGCCTGTGCAATATCCACACTTCAAACCCAAAGGGCTCTTGTATGAGGGGGTGTGTTAGAGAATAATATAAATTATTAAAAAGACCCTCACCTAACACCTTAAGGTTTTGGGTTGAAGTGGTTTTTTACATGGTAACAGAGCCTCGGTGTACCGGGTTCGATCCTCACCATATACAGAAAATCAGAGCAAGAGCTCCCAACTATGGAGAAATATCCTAGGCCCAAGCTTTTAGCCAGAAAAACAGAAAAGTGACATAATGCCCTCTACTTGACTCCCCCTCTTACAACAGTTTCATTTTCTATTTCCTTTAAGTAACTAACTCCCTCCCACACTCACACTTTTAGCACTCTTGCTAATTTAGTTTGGGCTAATGGGAATAAACCTATAGGACCTTGTGCCTAGCTTTTGGATCCTTATTTCCATCAACAATGCCACCCTTAAAAGCTGCCTTGTCCTCATGGAAGACATTTTGGAGTTGGCCTCGGATGCTACACTCCTCTTTCCAATTGGCCTCTTCTATCAGTTCAGATTTCCATAGGATCAGCACGTGATCTTTTGGAAATTGGTCTCACGTGAAGCCAGGATTGCCTCAGGTTTGACAGGGGTGTGGTCGTCAACTGTTGGGATAAATTTTAAATGTCCGTTTTTTAGCAGTTTTGGTTATTTAGTTTCTTGTGTCAGTTAGAATATTAATGAGTCAGTTAGAATATTAATGAGTCAATTATGTCAGTTATAAAGTAATAAGGGTGTTATGTGTGGAGTTATGTTGGTCAGTTTTATAGCTTATAAATAGCCTTTGATAGTTTGTATGATATGTAGATCAAATAGATCAAGTAGATCAAGAGAAAAAGTGAAAGAGCAAGAATAGAAAAGAAAAGTTTTTTGTAGATACACAAGTCTGGTTGTCTCTTACATCTGTGTGTGGATATTCAATTCTAACAAATTGGTATCAGAGCTTGGGCTATGGAGGAAAAGAACGAGATGGAAGTGCCACTCTTTTATGGAGATAAAGATGAAGCATTGGTCTTCTTACTTTGTCTAAAAGAATATTTTCGGAGAGAAAAAACATTTGAAGAGAACAAATGGCAGGTAGCCATGAGAAGACTCAGAGGAAGCGCAATCAAATGGTTCCGTACATGGAACTGCCGCGACTTTAATAATATGTGGAAGGATTTTCTAATGGCCTTCATAACAAAATACTTGCCTGGACATTTTGATCTGATTAATGAAGAAGATGAAATCTTCAATGATGATGATGAAGATGAGGAGAATGATGCGGATGAAGAAGAGACCGAGATGGTGGAATCCGAGGTTGCCAACGGCAACGCATCCGCGGAGGAGATTGACGTGTCAGGGCGCGTAAGAAATGACTCGGAGAAGAAGACGATGGAGATGACTGCGGCCGAAGGAGCCGAGATAAAAGAAGAGGAGAACGAAGGAGCTGAGATAGAAGATGAGGAGAACGAAGGAGCCGAGATCGAAGCAGAGAAGGACGTGAATGACGAGTCCATTGTTGAGGTAGAAGACTTCGTGGAACCTGAGTGTCTGGAGACAGTCGAAAATCGGAAAGGAGATTGAGAAGCCGAGGTGCTTGATGGAGACCGGCTTGGAGGAGACTGCGAATCCGAGTCTCATGTTGATAACCGGGATGGGGGAGATCCCGGCTAAATCACCGAGTTCATGTTTTGGAGAAGAGCTCGACCCCGGCGTGATGAGGTTGATGTCGGAGACCGACATAGGCGCGGTTCGGGTTGGAAGTCAGAAGTTGGAGACTGCATTGAATTTATGGTGGAAGTGGAAGATGTCGACACCACCGAAAAGAGACCATTTCCCTGGAGGACGGTGTTCTAAGATTCCATTGATGAGGCGCGTGGAAGCTGTTCTCGATGAAGAAGAACCCGGCGATGAAGAAACTGAGAGCGAAAAAATGGAAGGTGCATTTGAAGAAAAGGATGTGGTCTTGAAGAGAAAAAGAGGTTTTGTTGACAATACCAATGATGCAGAAATTGGGATTGGACGAGGAAATCAAATTGTGAAAGCAACTGATGAAGTGGCGAATGAAACTGAGAAGAATTTGGGTGACGAGAAACTTGCATGTGAAGAAGATGCAGCGAATGGAAACAAGGAAAGTCCTGCTAATGAAACTGAAAATATCAAATTGAAGAAGCCACCGGATAAAATAAAATATGTTCAGAATGAAACTGAAAATATCGAATTGAAGAAGCCGCCGGATAAAATAAAATATGTTCAGAAAAATAATTGCAGGGGAGATATTTTTTTGAGTTAATTAATTTGGAAGGTGTTAGATGTTTTTTGTCAGTGATCAAGATTGAAGAAAACAGGCGCGATCAAAAAGTTGAAGAAAAGCAGAAGCAACGCGAAGAAAGAAAGAAGAATTTAAAATTTATGGGGGAGTTTTGTTGGGATAAATTTTAAATGTCCGTTTTTTAGCAGTTTTGTTTAGTTTCTTGTGTCAGTTAGAATATTAATGAGTCAGTTATGTCAGTTAGAATATTAATGAGTCAGTTATGTCAGTTATAAAATAATGAGGGTGTTTTGTGTGGAGTTATGTTGGTCAGTTTTATAGCTTATAAATAGCCTTTGATAGTTTGTATGATATGTAGATCAAATAGATCAAGTAGATCAAGAGAAAAAGAGAAAGAGCAAGAATAGAAAAGAAAAGTTTTTTGTAGATACACAAGTCTGGTTGTCTCTTACATCTGTGTGTGGATATTCAATTATAACATCAACCTCCAAGCCATGAGGCAATTCAGACTCCACTGGATGGTGTTTCCAATGGCCTTTTTAAGTTGTGAAACGTGAAAAATTGGATGAACGCCTGCAGTTGCTGCTATTAGCAGTTTGTAGGTCAATTCTCCCATACTAGCTAAGATTCAAAATGGACCATAGTAGCGGGCTGACAACTTAGGAATGATCTTTTTGCCGCAGAAATCTGCCTATGTGGGTGAAGTTTGACACAACCCACGACTTCCCTCCTATAAGTATCAACACCGCTCTTCATAGTTTGTTGTGCCTGTGATAAGTTGAATTTTAGCTTCCTGAGAACTTCATCTCTCTCACTTAGAATCTTAGCTACGAGTCTACTAAAGTCTCACCAGCAAGGTGGTGCCTGATTGCTGGTGGAGGGAAGCGATATACAGCTTCAGAGGGAGTGGTCTTGGTAGTGGAGTGGAAAGTGGTATTGTATCAAAATTCAGCCAAAAAAGCCCCAATTGTTAGTTTGCATAATATATCATGTTCATAAATCATAAAATAAGAACATGATAAAGGATCTTGGGAATACATGATTTTCACATACACATAAGAAATAAAGACATACCCGGAAACAATGATGAAAGATTAACAGCAGTCATCATCTTGTGAGCAATTGTGTTATGGTAGTTTCTCTCTCTAAGCCTTCTTTACTTTGATATGTATTCTGATGGATAGAATGACATTAGGGTAGAAGGGAAGAGAGGACAATCCCTAATATATATATATTCCATAACTCATAATCTGGTAAGTCCATCATATTACCAAATCAAATCAATGATTGAGATTAAGTGTATCAGTAATTAATTGGGCCATATAACGTTTAATGGGTAATATCAAGAATCTTATTATTATAATTATAATAAAATCCTTTTAATATTATAATTGATTCTTAATATTTCTAACACCAATGCCTACTGTTTAGGCTATTCAAAAGCAAAGCACCGCAAATAAGTATCCATTCAACAGCCAACCACCTCATTTTCGTCACCAGTCTGAAGATGAAAGGACATACTCGTCTTCAAAATAGTCCCTTGAAGGCAAAACATCTCTTTCCAGAAATTGCGCAGGAACAAAGGGTCACTATCACTCGCAATTGCACTTGGAAAACCATACAATCGTACTACTTCTTTTACAAAATTCTCAGCAACAATACTTTGACAATCTGTCTACCACATCCATGATATCTTCATACCCTTGGGTTTTAGGCAGACCAATAACGAAGTCCATGGTAACCTCTTCCCATATGAGGTTAGGGATGGGAAGTGGCTGCGTTATAAAAAAAAAAAATCTGCTTCGTGTTAAACCATGACTAGCGAAATTTGCTTCCTTATACCTTTCCAAAATAAACTCCTAGCTTTTGCTTGTAGGTTTGAGCAAAACCCGAATGTCCTCCGATAGGAGTGGAATAGAATTCTTGTTGCAATGTGGGAAGATTGCTGCGAGATTGCCAATCGGCCCTTGTAGAAAAGCAAATCTTCTTGTAGCAAGCATTCTGATATAGCATTGGGATCTTTCTTCAGCATATCTATGGCTTTCACTAATTCTGGATCAGCTAAGACCTCTTCCTTCACCTTAGCGAAATCCACCCAATAAGGACTAATGCAAATAGAAGGCAACTCATTATATTCTTCAATTTGGTACAGGGCATCCGTTGCTTTATATCCAGGACCTGACTTGCACACCACTTCCAATTGATATTCCATCAAATTAAATAACCAACAATGCTGAGCAGTAGTGGTGACTCTTCGCTGTAACAGGTGTTTGAGGCTTCTGTGGTCTGTATACACCTTGAATGGCCTTCCCAATAAAGTGTCTCCAATGCTGAACCACCAAGATCAATGCCATAACTTCCTTCTCATATGGACCTGGAAAGGTTGCTGGAAGCCAAGACATTGTTAAAATAAGCTACTTGAAAGTTAG